CACGTAGTCATTACCATAAATCGTTAGATTACAATTATTCTGTCTCGTTCTTATTTCATACTGAATATGAATCCATCACTAAAATATTAGAACATACGTAGCCACTTTTCATTTCATTAGTTTTACTAAGACGACATTAATGGTATATGTTTGTCACTATTATATTTTGCAGTTGGAGGAAGATGAAGAGACTTTGAATTCTGTTGCTAATGTTCAAAATAGATGTACTTTCATATTTTTTTATTCTTAATAACTAATATTTTAATTAAAATAATCCAGCTAAAAATCGGGAAAATTAATCAATATGCTCATAAATCGGTGTAAAATATCAATTTCAATTTTTCGATTCATCATATAAAATAATCGATAGTTGTTCTAACTGCGATTAAATCTCTATTCCCTAGTTCAGAGCCACCGTCTCTGTGGCCGCGCGCTCCGCCTGCCCAGATGCACTCCGCACTTGCGCCCCTTCTTCATCGCAGCCTCCACGGCTTCACCTGCGCTCGCACTCACCCTCCCTCCACCCACCACCCCCACCAACACCACAGGACCCTCGCCGTCGCCGTCGCCTTCACCCGCCCCGCCACGTATGTTGCATCATCGTAGCCTCCGCCGGCAAGTTTCATTGCACACCCCGCCCACCTCGCCTTTCTTCGATTGGTGGATTTATTTCATGTTTCCATGGACCACAACGGCTTTAGTCTTTGGCACTACAAGTGCCTTACGTGTTACATCCGTGACGGTGTACCTTCTGCACAGGTGCGTGAGATTACGCGCCGACCTACACTTAAGCTTGCAGGGGTTTCCCTTCCAGGTGTCTCCCTCAGCTGGGCGCCGTCCCAGCCACGACAAGTACTGAACTCCTACATTAGCTCCCGACATCTGAGGTAGTGCAGTTCATGTAAGTTTGTGTGTCGCTGTGTGTGTGTAAGAGGGGAGAGGTTGGGACAATATTGCAAAATGAAAAATTGCGCGTGGTCCGTGGCCCGTTGGTGAAGGCACTACTCCGGCCTTCCTCTGTTAGTGGTCCTCCTCAGGCGCGACACAACCTCGCACTCTGAGCACGCGAGCAGAGCAGCGCCGCGGCCGCTGGCCGAGTTCTGGGCCGCGATCTGCACGCGCGAAAGCGGAGGCGGCAGTTGGGCGCGGAGGGGTGGATGTGCGGAGGGGGGCGGAGGGGGCGGATGGGGCAGAGGGGGCGGTGGGAGGGCGGTGGCCAACGGGATCGCGGGCGGCGCTGGTGCCTGCGGAGGCCCCTGGCGCCGCCGCCGCCGCCGCCGCCCGCATCGGGAGCAGCCGGAGCCTCCACTCACTCGTGCTCTCCGCGCTGGTCACGGCCGCCGTCTGAGGGGGGCGTCCATAAATTACGTAATGCTAACAAGGGGCTAACGTAATGCTAAGAGACTGCGTTTCAAACGGTTAGGGAAGTAATAATTTAGTCCAGGGGTGTCCAACTTGCAAGGTGTCAAGGGCCACAATGAAAACCCTTCATTTGGCTGCGGTCCGTATTTTCATTACTCGGGCGATTCACAACTGACTTCCCCATAGTGTTGACCTTGGAGATTTCCCCTGTTGCTATGAAACGTGGGAGGAGGGGGAATGAAACCATGCGTGATATCAGGCGGTACCGTGCATAACACAGTGAAACACATTGGGATGATTTGAATTTCTGAATTTACTAGTAAAGCAATTCCTTAAACATAAACTTCACCTATTTTTACATTTAAGGGGATGTTCGCCCTGGCAGAGCGCGTGCGCTCGGCGCACTATGTTCTCGCCCGACATGGTTGCAGGACTTTTTAGGACACATTTGACTAATAATTGGATAAACTTGCGCGGGCCTCAATAAATGGCATCGCGCGCTAGTTGGACAATCCTGATTAAGTGTCACATAATACTGTTTTTTTCCTGCGTTTTTTTTTCAGCCGACCGGTTACACTTTACGTCCCGATAGGACGCATATGTGACTGTGCACTAGACACCTACACACTTGCGGGCTCCTTTGATCTGGGGTCAGAAGTACGCGATGCCCTTCACGACAACACATACATGAGAGATAAGGGACAAACAACAAAGCCCAAGGCGGGACTCGAACCCGCGACCCTTCGGACCGAAGCGCTGAGTCGGTACACGTTCTTAGCCACATCGGCCATCCAAGTCGAGATATAATGGAGATATTTTTTTAATTTCAACAATAGCTGAAATAATTCCTTCAGTTCATAATTAATACTAAAACATTATACTATTAAAAAATTAAATTAAAAGTTATTTTTAAAATGTTATAATAAATGGAAATATTTTATCATCAATACTGTACTCACTGAATCTGTTAGATTATGAAGAAAATATTCCATATCGATATATAATATTCTAGAAACCAATTAAATTGGCGCAGAAGACCCTAGGCTCATGTGTCATCTACAACGATGTGCATGGCTTGTCAGAAATTTTCTCCCCTACGCGTCCTTCATTCATTCAAAAGTTGTCCTCAATCTTATTCTTGGGCGTACTGCTTTATAATTTGTTTTTACTTACTGTAAACGGGGAAGGAGTCTTGTGCCAAGTGTTACGTAATTATTTAGAGGGATTCAAGCGTGCATTACAGTTGCGCTTCAGGGGGAGGGGAGTATTTGAAAGACTCCATAGTTGCGTTAAGGTCCCTATTCTCGGTACAGTTTTAGTATGTTCGTAATTTTTCATGTGGAAAGCACTAGTGACAGAATCGTTCATCAAAGGATTTATTTACCAGACGCGTCGGTAATCGGCCATTTCGATTTTGTGGTTAAATGTGTCAAGTTGCGACTGTGTAAACTACCTCTTCCGGTATTCCCGCCTTCCTATTTTTCTTCTCTATGCTCCACATGGTTAATTAATACTTAATGAAGATCACAGCTAGAATGCACGGACAGAAATACCGCCTCTGAAAGTACTCCGACGGCGCAATTTAGTTGTTTCCTGGAAGACTTCCTAGCGACGCCTTGTGTCGCTTCATACAGAAACCGTACTGACCGTGTGTACGATACGCAACGTTTGGCTTTTATACTTCTAGTTTTGGATCTTGAAATTCCTGTACAGATACTTATGAAACTCTGCACGAAAATTGTATTGTGTACATCGGTCTTCGCGTAATTTACGTATACGTCTAGGGAGTTTTGTCGTAGGTAGTATCACGAGTGCACTGAACATTTGTGATAAAATCCCCAGTCATGTAGTGGTATGGTTACGCGTAGGGTTCGTAACCGTAATCGTGTAGCTCGAACATTAGGGCGGCTCTACACATTCGTTATTTGGCGAGAAGCGAGCAATCGCTCGCTGAATCCCAAGTAGTTCAGATGAGTTGTTTGCTATTTGCCGTGCGACGAATATTCGGTGCTCTTCCTACTCACCGCGTGTCGGTCTTTAGGACAGATACATCAAAGGAGGCGACCATTCGCCGAACACATCAGCCGTTCGGGATTAGACGGGGCACGCGGAGCGGCGAATGCCGAATTTCGCCTTTAGGTACGTTACCCGCATTTCATACGGTGAAGACGATACCATTTGCTTAAACTCTCATTAGTCTGATAGCACACACAGCAGTCAAGCGGGTCGTAAGGGAATGGGCGAAGTTGACTTGTCAGTGAGAGCTGTAGGTTCATGAAGTCGCCATTACAGCCCCTTGATTGGTGACGGAGAAAGTCTAGTAAGATGGGATGCGCCAGTAGTGGGCATTATGTAGTATCACGCAGAGAAATGGAAGAGAGGCATATACAAATTGAAAAAAAGACGATGGACAAAAAAATAATATTTAAAAAAATCATCTCCAAATGACTTAGATTTTGCAAAAGTAAACATATATAATATTCATTGCAATCGCATGCGCATTTGCGAACACACCCATACCTACTAACCTACATTATTAGAAGTTCATGTATGTACTCTGGTACAACAGCGCTTTACGAGTTAAGACATACCTGCAGCGTCCCGGTCATGCGGCCATGAGTTAAGGGGTACGTGTGGTTAGCACATAGCCATCCCTATCCCGTATTCTGGTCTATTCAACCTGAGAAGTGAGCTTTCTCATTGTGAGTCAGCAACAGATACTGGGATATAACAAGGAAAGCGCACAATTAATTTTTGGACCGACCGGGAATCAAACCCGGGGTTGCGCCATGGAAAGCGAGCACGCTAACCAACGAGAAACTGTGGTTTACTATTAGATGTTCATATCTTTTTATAATTGTATGTACTTTATTGAACCATTAGAACTCATAAAAGTAAATGCTTTGGCCTGGGTAGCTGAGGTCACTAAGGCTGAAGCTTGGCTGCCTTGGTTGCGGGTTCAAATCCCGCCCGGGGGATGGATGTTTGTGTGTGTCCGTAAGCGTTTCCTCTATCGTTACCTCAAAGTTATAAAAGCAATGTTCAATTACACTGGTCGCTATATGACCATAGCAGTTGAAAAGCGACCTTAAAGAAGTAAAAAAAATTAAAAAATAGATGCTTTAGCAACATTGCTGTCAGGGCAGTAAACGCATCAAAAAATTATTCAAATGGACACGATAAAACCTCGTCGTCTGTTTTGTCAGATTTTTATGTAAAGTTTAAATAATTAAATAATCAATACTGCAACACTTGAACTAAAATATATTTTAAATATGTTTTAAAGAAGATTTAAAGGATATACCCGATATGACATTAAAGGCATAAAATACTAAACTGTGACTACATGATTAAATTTCATTTGCATGAAAGAGTTATTACTATGACATATGTTCAAATTAAGACCATAATGATTCCTACAATGAACTTCTAAAAATGTGAGAACTTATTTGTTATCTGCGCATATTACAATTTGGAAGTCCGAAGTCTTCAGGATTTATAACCTGCGTTGTGCAGTGTCATTCAGCAAGTTGCTGCAATTTCTACTAAGCTATGTACTACTGCTAGTAATAATAATAATGATGATATTAATATAAACATGTATACAAGAATAATTAACTGTATTTTCTGTCCAACAGGTGTTCTTGAAGAACTGCGTTGCTAAGGAGAAAACGACTGTTCCAGGTAAGATGGTAGTACATGTTTTTTGGATTTGCAACAGAACTTCGTTGCAGCTGTAACATTTGGACACACTTATGCAAGTACATTGGTTTCACCCAGAGTCACTCGAATCATATATGTTTGTATCGTGAATGCATAATGTTTTAACAGGTAAACGAAGCCAAGATTGAATAATAGCACCGTATTTCCACCAACTCTAAAAATCCAACTAGTAATCTACAAGATTGGTATAGAAAACAGCACGAAAAATGGATAGCTATCCATTTTGAAGAAACCCAACATACGTTTCAGGTTTTGTTCACCAATTAAATCGTGTGTTCTTTTTCCGCTGTTTGAGCGAAGCATCAGGTAAATAATCACGGAATTAATTACTGGTAGTAGTAACCCGTATGTGAGTTACAGAGCCGATTCAGGCGCTTCCTTTCCACGAACGATTCCAGAGTTTCCGCGAACGCACGCGTGCGCAGAGCGGATCCGCCGCCACAGAAGCCGCTCCGCGCGGGCGCGCGTGTGCCAGACCTCCGAAATCGTTCGTGCAAACGAAGCTTGTGAATCGAGTCAAAGGAGCGTACTGTTTAGTATTCAGTAATTCGCGCGTTAGATGGGAAATTAAGTCGTGTGTTAAGCGGTCTGTACCAAACAAGTGCCACTGTTTGTGCGGAATGCACCTGCACAGAGGCAAACAATGGGATCCAAAGTGGCGCGTGTGTCGACGACGCAGTGGAAATGTCGCAGGCGCCACGCGATGTTTGTTTGTTTGTGTTTGTGGATTGATTAATTAGTGATTCCGGCTTCGTCAACTGCTAAGTGTATTAGTCCTGTTTAGTGCATGTTTTTATCGCGTCAGATGGCGGTGAACTTCCTTCGCTGGATGGAGCGGAAAGCTGAATAGTGATTCCGGGCGCGTCAACTGCTAAGGTCATTAATCCCGTTACTGTAGTGCATTCTTTTAATCGCGAGAGGTGTCGGTAATCTCCCCCAGCTGGATTTCGAGATCCTGCATCGACCTACATTTCGTTTCGCGGGGAGTTTTCCCCAACCACACATCTTTCAACAGCGGGGCACCGTCCCATCAGGGACAAGCTCTAAGCTTCCCACTAGACTCCCGACCTGTGTGGTAGTGTAGTGCATGTAAGAATGTGTATAAGGGATGAGGATAGAACGAAAAACAGGAAGGAAAGACCGCGCGTGCTGCGCGGCCCGTATGCTAGAGTACTGCTCCGCCGTTCGCCTGGTATTGATCGAAGAAACAATAGTAATATCCAAATCAGAGCAGCTGGCCGCTAGAATTCTCCCCCAAAACAGCGGCCGAACTCGACCTATACTTTTTGGGCATCAAGGACCCACACAATATACAAGAACCTACCAAATGTGACTACACCACGTGATAGAGGATTTTTGCTATATTTAGAAACTACATTTATCCACTTTTTCATTACCTGGACCCCGAACACCGAATGGTCGTACGCAGCTCGCACATCTACCGGTCATGGCAATGCACTGAAGAAGGACGACTAGAGTCGAAAATTCTACCACCTTCGGGACTCGTACACAAGGACCATTGACTAGGACGTCAATTGCCGGCATCGAAGCTGGTCCACGTGTTTGCGCAGAATGTGTCTGCACAGAGAAAGAGAATGGCATCCTCAGCGGCGCGTGGCTGGACGGCGCAGTGGAAACGCCCCAGGGCGCCCCGCTGCGCGATGTTGGTGTTTGCGAGAGCGCCAAGCGCCTCGTGCCGTTTCCGCAGCCTCCTCCACCACCTCAGCCGCTCCCCTCGCGGTAGCCAGTGCCCGCTGAGCCACAAAGGGTCAAAACGGCGCGATTAAGGAGAAAAAAGAATAACTGAAAACGCGTTGTTTATTTGTAATACTCGCCATTTAGATGAAGGTGATTTAAAAAAGGAACAAAACGGTCTGTTGTTAAAGCAGTTCTCTGTGAAAAACGGAAATAGTATTGCAGGTGACAGCCAGTCTCGTGTTACAGTGGCTTAGAGCGGGTGCGACCCTGCAGACGCTAAGGGTGTAGACGTCAATCTCGGGATAGACACGGTTCAGTTTGTGACGTGCGGTGCAATTGCCCCACACCTCGTGAAGTATACCCCTCGCGGTTGCCAGTGCCCGCTGAGCCACAAAGCGTCAAAACGGCGCGATTAAGGAGAAAAAAGAATAACTGAAAACCTGTTGTTTATTTGTAATACTCGCCATTTAGATGAAGGTGATTTAAAAAAGGAACAAAACGGTCTGTTATTAAAGCAGTTCTCTGTGTAAAACGGAAATAGTATTGCAGGTGACAGCCAGTCTCGTGTTACAGTGGCTTAGAGCGGGTGCGACCCTGCAGACGCTAAGGGTGTAGACGTCAATCTCGGGATAGACACGGTTCAGTTTGTGACGTGCGGTGCAATTGCCCCACACCATGTGAAGTGTACCTCATGTATCACCCCAATATGCTAATCCTTCTACAATGCATTGCCATGACAGGTAGATGTGCGAGCTGCGTACGACCATTCGGTGTTCGGGGTCCAGGTAACGAAAAAGTGGGTAAATGTAGTTCCTAAATATAGAAAAAATCCTCTATCACGTGGTGTAGTCACATTTGGTAGGTCCTTGTATATTGTGTGGGTCCTTGATACCCAAATCGTCTGTCTACCCGTCTGTGCTCAACGCTAGCGCCTAAACCGTTAACCTCTAAAATTGATACTCCCCGATCGATCTGAACGAACTGGAGGCTTTGGAATTTTTAAATGGATAATTGTTTTTTGAGGGCTTTTTTTTTCATGAAACGAGCTTTTACATTTTATACGTCTGCCCGCATTCGACCCATACTGCGCTTTTGTGACGTAGTATTATGTACATCGCCAAGTTAAATCTAAGAATATTAGTTCCGGTCTCGGAACGGGAAAAACATTTCGCTGTTTGGAAACACTTTTGTAGGTTTATTTAGTAGTATAATATAGCGGAGCAATTGCAAATAATGCGAGAGTGTGTGTGCTTTTGTCGCCACACTAGTTAATTTTGAACATGGACGCTTTGTTGGCGATGTCGCCTCCCCACCCACAGTGCGCTGTATGGTCGCCGCGAGGCGGGGAGGTAGGGGGTTCTATTTGGGACGCGGTCGGCGCCGGTTCACTTCGCTCGCGCCCACGCGCTTCCTCGGCGCACGCGCGCTGCTCCGAGCCGCTGCCATCGCCCCCGCGGGCCATTCGGGCGAAACGGCGCACACGCTAGCAGGAAACAACGCTATGCTTGTAGAGAATGGGACAATCAGACTTTCGTAAATGGTGAATCGAATCGAATCAAATCGAATTGATGTCTTATTTTACATGGCGAGACTCGAGGCCTGCTCTTCGGTCTGACCACGCAAATTTCGCTACGCTCCTTTCACCAATTAGCGGAGAAAGGAGAGGGCGACGAAACAGGCGATTTGAATTAGACTCAGAGGCTTCGTTTAGGCTTGAGGATCTTTTACATGCGGTAAATCTACTAACATGGGACAGCCGGCTTTACTTCCCCTCGGAAGGAAGGCGTACGAAGGATTTTTTTCGCCCTCAAAACATCCACGGACTCGATCGGGTTTGAACCCGCACACTTGGGTATAACAGTCCGATACGCCAACCGTTACACTATCGCCGCCGCAATATGTTGCTACTTAATCTAGAGACATGCATAAGCAAACATTCTGCTAAACAAAATCCCACAGCATGATTTTTAAAAAGTAGCACGCACGGAAATACTCCCTTATAATTTTGTAATAAGTTTAGATTGTAATAAAAATGTCTTCACAAATGATCTGCAGTAACGTAGCGTAGTATATTTATAGAGTACAAGTTATTTACGCAGGTACCAAGAATATCAAAAAAGTTCCTATTCCTTAACGCAACATGTAAATAGTTTTAATGGCAGACTGCCTGTTCCTTGGAGCCTTGCTGTCTCATGGTGACAACTGTGACGTAAGAAAGTGACGCATTGAATATGAGAAGTCAGTCGTAACGAGCAGTTTGAGAACAGACGGAATAACACAAACAAATATTTGCATTTTCATTAAAAATCGTTTCATTGTAGTTTTTTCCCCTGCATTTCTGCGTATCTAATGAAATTATAAGAGACCTCTCTCACAGTCTGAGGCTGTTTTCTATCAATTTCTGTACGCATCGGAAATTAGAAATATAGTAGATGTTCGCTGCAATGACACAGGGGGATGACAATGTCCAATTTCGTGAAAGTAAGTATAGCAGGTTAAGGAATTGTACAATACCCATTACCAAATCGTTCTATTATTATTTCATTATCTGAGTTGTGGTGTTAACTAATATCCAAAATGAAAATAATTTGAAGTGGATGCCGTCGACGCTAGCAAATGTCTTGAAAAATGAGCAGGACAAAAACTTGCAGCCCACTTTTGTATTCATTTTTCTTTTTCTGCAAGACGTGATCACGATTTATGATCCAAATTTGATCACGTGATGAATATCGAAAAATGCAACTTAACAAGTGCACCAATTTGGAATCAAACTAGTCAACATGCGTTTTTGTTTCATTTTAATTATATTCCTGTTTATCATCACATACTTTAAACAAGTAAGCGTCGTACAGAAATTTATAATTTAGCACTTATAATATCAATAATTAATATTTGTTAACACAGTAATACAATATTTGTCATTGTTATTGTCCTTTCTAGTCCACAGTTGTTTTCCAGAAAGGTGTGAGAGATAATATCCGAAATTATTTCTTCATCCCATAAAATATATTTCAAAGTAGTTCATTAAACTTATTATTACATTGCCTGTTTCTTATCCTTTGAGTTTAGATACTTTTACTGCGAAGGACCAATTTCTGGCAAGTTACGTAAAAGAGATCAATGAAAACGTTTAAGTCGAACCGAAGTAAATAAATAATTCTCGCAGTTTCATTTGCGTTTCACACAGACGTCTCCACGGAGCGATTCAAGGGATTTGACGGCGTTTTACCGCCCACTCTCAAAACAATGAGTCATCATAACTG